AAAAATCATTTTTACACTTATTTTTGAAAAAATTACAAATCAGTCGCACATTCTTAAAATAATTACATATTTATGAAAAAAAATTATAAATTTAATTATTCAGATTCGTAAAGTTTATTATTAATTTGTAATTTTTTGGAAACTTATACTGAATATGTTATTTCTCCTTTATTTTTTAGTTATGCTACCATTTCAAAAACTATATCTCGAATTTTATCCAAAAAAATTAATCTACAACTCAAATTGATTTTATTTTTAGGGTTATTTTGGAAAGTAGCTATTTTAATTTATTTTTTTATTTCTTATGAAAAGATATACAAAAAAGTAAAAAGAAAAATGAAAATTTACCCATAAATCTTATATGGAGGAATGTTAATCTATTTAGTCCTGTAAGTTTTCTAATGGACTGATGGGTCCTAGGTGTTTTTGGGAATGTGTATGTCTTTACTGGAATGCCTTTTTGTATGATTCATTTTTTGGAACAAATTGCTGCGCGAGTGGATGTTGGTGCATTAGGCGTGAAAGATATCATTTTGGGTGAAATTTGGTGGAGTATATCACGGGAGATATTATTTTTGATAGGTTGGATGTTGTAGTGTTGATTTTGTCATTTTGTGGAGTGTAGCAAGGGGGGATCTTGTAGTGTGTTTTTTTTTTTTTTTTTTTTTTTTTTTTTTAAAAAAAAAAAAAAAAAAAAAAAATTTTTTTAAGGGGGGAAAATTTTTACCGTAATGCGCTATGTACTCAATGTGCGATGGCTATGTGTTTGTGTGATGCACAGGTATGGATGTTGCGATTTTGTTGTCGTGTACGTACGGGCAAACTAATGCTGTTGTTCGGTTGCATCACGTCTCCACATTCGACAAGATAATTGATGTTATTTGTGGGAAGTTTGATGGGTTGGTTCCGGGTCTGGTCTACATGTTGTTCGACATACCTAGTTACAATAAGTTCAAGGTAGATTGCGACGATGATATTCAAAACATGATATGACTTGCTAAGTCATTCGGACTTGATTATATCAATGTTCCCATTTAATTACGTGGTGGGTCTGCTGATGACCGTGGTAAGGTGGGTTGCGCGAAGCACAACGGGATCACTCTAATTGTTTGGTTGACGTTCGATATGAATGACTAGACAGATTTGTTGCCAATGTTTTGCCCTCACAAAGCAAAGCATTATTTGTCAGTTGAGTGGGCATATGGGATTACGCATGTGGGTCAATGTTTTTGGGGGGGGTGCAAATGAGTTTCGGACTGCCCTTGTTAAGTTTGCTGTTGAATGTGGTTTTTAATACCAATATGTGAAAAATAATTCTATGCGGATTACAGCTATTTGCATATTTGCACTGTCAACCGAATGCTCATGGTCGGTACATGCAAGGGTGTTACCATCTAACGGGGTTTTATGTGTCAAAAAGTTCGATAATATGCACATTTGTGGTGCTGCTGTATAGATGTATAGGAACCCGTGTACCGGTTCTGAATTAGTGTCTGATGTGATCGCAGACCGAGTTCGTGCCCAATCGTTAACACGTCCAATGGATGTGGTGTTTGATATGAAGAATTGGGGGTAGAAAAGGCAAGGGGTATAGTTTATGGAGATCATGTCATGTCGTTCAACCAGCTCAGGTGATACATTGATACGGTGATGGAGAAAAATCCGAACAGTTACAATAGCCTCGAATTCGATAACAATTCCGGAAAGTTTGTTAGATATTTTATTTCATTTCCTGCATGCATAGATGGTTTTAATCAATGTTGGCCTTTGCTTTTTCTGGATGAAACGTTCTTGAAGGGGCGATTTAAGGGGAATTTGCTCGCTGCCACTGCTAAAGACGACAACCAAGGTCAGAGTATCACTATGTTATACAACATGACGTGTGGTCTTTTTTAATTGGTGAAAATTTATGAAATCTATTTAGATGGCTGATGCCTTTTGTTTTCTACCGAAATTGTCCGGTTGTTTTCAGGTTTATTTTCGGTCGTTTTCGTAATTGTTGATTCAAAAAATACGGCCAATTGGGAGTGATTTTTGCAACAGCTGTCACACATTGTTGACGACAGTCGCATGCTGACGTTCGTGTCTGACTGTAGTGCTAGATTGCTCTAATCAATGCCTACAATATTTCCTTTGGCACACCATGCTTTCCATTTGTTACATCTTCAAATGAACTTGCGGGACCGAATGAAATATGTAAATGCAATGCACAAGATTGGACTGATGTGCAAGTTGCGGGAATGCGCTTACTTGCCCACGGTAACATGTTTCAATTAGAAATTAGAGGTATTGAAACAGTCAAGCCCAACAATTATCGAAGATTTCATGAAAGATTTGCATCCTAAACATTGGGCTAACGCTTATTTCAAGTTTGTTGTAGGATGCATGATCCATGTACACATTCCTAACAATGTTTTCAGGTCACATACAGAACATCATTGTCACTGTGGACACTTTTGATCACACAATATTTTTGTGGTTTTTTTGTTTGATATAACAACCTTGGTCGTGTGGGGTGCTATTTTACAAATTCGTAGGGGCCAACGATATGGTGAAATGTGGTCCAATGCGACGGAGTCATTCAACAATTGGATACGTGAAGCAAGACATCTTCCTATCACTCAATTGGTTGATGCGATACGGGGGAAAATCATGGAAAAAAAGACGAAGCGTAGAGTCAAATCCAGTAAATGGTCTGGTGTTATATGTCCTAAAATGAAGAAGAAGTTGAAGTTGGAGTTAAAAACGGACAGGTCATGGATTGTTAGTCAAGCTAAAATGTGTATGAGGTTCACTAGCACCCGTTGGTGTTGGTAGACGTAAGCAGGCATACATGTTCATGTTTTCAGTGGCAGTTGAATGGGTTCCCATGTTTACTTGCGGTCGTTTCATTCCAAAACAGTGGGAGGAACGTGTATGACTCGATCGATCTGTTCTACCGTGTGGACAAGTTTCGGGCATCATATTCTGGAACTATATTTCCAATTTCGACAGCAGGCAAGCCGACTTTTAACCGTAATGATTACCTCATTGCACCACCAATAGTGAAATGTCTCCCTGGAAGGCCCAAGCAGAAGAGGATTTCGTTCAAGGGCGAGGTAGTATAATGCATTCGATGTGGCCATTGTGGGAAGATGGGCAATCACAACAAGAAGACATGCAAGGAACCAATATAGTTGTCTCCCACTGCGATCGATTATCGTTACATTGGATGGTCATTTATTTTTTTTCATTTTTCATTTTTAAGTTTGTTTTCAGTGCCCACTACACGGCCTTTCTTTGTCCTTCGCATTTAACTAACATTGTTTCGCGTACGTTTTCATTGTCTGGAATATGTCGGTGATTTTCCCAATTTGACTTTGTATGCATGTTCCTCACATTATTTACGAATGTTGGTTTGTTTTCAGCTTACATATTACATTTGCTTGATTAGAATAACTTTTTCAATTGTTATCATCACACATGGGTGATACGGTGTAACAGCCCCAACCAGTTCTAACACAGATGTCCATTCCCAACCACCACTCGCAACGAATTTGGGGTTTTCAAACTTCAATTTGCTCAAAACAATTGGCTATACACACCAATTACCATGTACGTCGTGCTTAATAGTTATCAAAAAATCATGTTGTTGTATATGGCGGGAATGGGCCCATTGATGTAAGTTATTGTGGTAAACGTTTACAAATTTTGTGTTATTTTAAGGAAGGTAGATTGCATTTTAAAGCCGAATTGTTAAAAAAACTATTGCCTATTTAATGCGTGAATTATTGCTGCCATAGACATGATACATGTTACCTATCACAACTACACACTGCCACAAGGATCGCCATGTACAGCGAGATTGAAATGAATTACTCTTACAGTTCGATGTCAATTGCTTACTACAAAATCTCGTGCCATTACACAACTAGAACATCACAACTAAACACTGTCATTAATAAACAAAACAACACCAAATACCCTATCAGACATTTGCACATGCGTCCACAACATTCGAACAAAGACAATGTACACCAACACATTCACCAATAATCGCCCTCCAATAGCCCATTCATCACAAAAAAGTAAAATCAACTTCCAGAATATGAAATAAATCAATTTTTATGTGCCGTTTGCTAATGCGTGAATTATTGCTGCCGTTGACATGATACATGTTAACTATCACACATATTGCACTACGCCAAAATTGGGCTTTAGCGGCGATTTTTTACCGCCGTTAAAGGCTATAAAACCGTTGTTAAAACCTTTAACGGCGATATTAACGGCGGTTTCGATACCGCCGTTTATGCGCGTGTCGAAAAAAGTACAACCGTCGTAAAAAGGTAAATTACCGTCGTTAAAAGTCGACCAAAAACGGCGGTTTTTTACTACCGTAAATAGGTTTAGATTTTTTCAAAAAGTAATTCTTTCTTCTTGTACTCCCCAAGTTTTGAACCCAAGACCTCTTATCCACCCACACCAACCACTCTGCCATAGCCACTCTTCATGAAATATATTCCCTAAATAAATATTTAAACATTACTTTTACTTTATTGTAGATGGTTTCGCCGGAACTCGCCGAAGTTTCGCCGGAGCTCCGCTGGCAAAGACCGCCGTCATTAATGGCGGTAATGATTGGGCATTAGCGGCGGTTTTGTTACCGCCGTTAAAGGCGGGCATTAGCTGCGGTTTTGTTACCGCCATTAATAGAGGGTTTCATTACCGTCGTTAAAGACACTTTAGTGACGGTTTTTTTAACGGCGGTAACGAAAACGCCGTTAATGATAAATTAACGGCGGTATTAACGGCGGTTTTCGTTACCGCCGTTAAAAAAACCGCCGTTAATGCCCTATTTTGGCGTAGTGTTGTACGCCGCCATGACATATTCAATAAGCCACAAGGATCATCCTGTACAGTGAGATCGAAATGAAATACTCTTATAGTTCGATGTCAAGTGCTTACTACAAAATCTCATGCCATTACACAACTAAAAAATCAAAATTAAACAATGCCATCAATAAACAAAACAACACCACATACCCTATCATACATTTACACATACGCACATAACATTCGAACAACGACAATATCCACCAACACATCCACCAATAATCGGATTACAACAGCCCATTCATCACAAAAAAAAGTAAAATCAACTTCCATAATATGAAATAAACCAATTTTTATGTGCCGCATGCTAATGCGGTCGCGTACTGCGGCAGAGAGTTTTGGACAGTAACACATTGGTTTGTCTATCCTTATTTACGTAAATCTTAAACGTAATAAATGAACTACTTCAACTAACCCAAAAAACCCATTACGCAGTTGGTGATTGTACTGCAATAACATGGAAATGGAAATGGTAATCAAACGAAAACATGTGCAATGTTTTCAAACCAATGTTCCAAACATATAATTCGTGCATTATTACACAGCCTGGGTGGACAGACCTCTTCTTGGGTCATTCATGAACGTCTTCACTAATGCAGCCCGAAATGTATTAGGGGTAAGGCCATCCATTGTACTGTCAATCTTCACCTTGTGCACATATTGGTGCATGATGAAACAAACAAAGATACCACAATCAGCGCTACATCAAAGCATTAAAACAAACAACATCAATATGGGTGCGTGTGTGACATACTAACAGATGTGAAAAAAAACCTTTTATGTTTTTGAAACACATACAAGCTTGCTGCTTGTTAAGGACATTCGATGACTGACTCGGGGGAACCATTCATATCATCGCTTGCAACTTCATCGGCCAACGGTCTTCCAGTAGCTGTTTTGCATAGTTAACCACCCATTTTTTCTGCAATAAATGAGGACCATAACGCTATAATACTTGTAAACAACAACTAATTTTAGTTACTATGAACAATATCCATTCCGAGATTACCATCTTTAATGCCTATATGAAATGATCATCTTTGCTACCCTTCCATTGCCTCAATGGATTGTAATGGTGCCATGTCCCAAATTCTGAATCATGAACCATTATTGTCTAATGGTTTAAATAACATATTGGGTAGTGGATGTATCTGTTTCCTTGTGAGACGTTAAATTGGGCTTTTAGATATTGGTCCCTGGATGTCATGCTTGGGTTACGCATCATGTCATGTACACACGTGAGCAATGAGAATTTATCAAATATTAACACGTACGCACACTAAGCACTCAAGGACAATAGGGTTGTGTTATCGTACCGCACAAATGCTGCTATAAAAATATGATTGATCAACATATTTACTTTCAGCGGCCACCTTGGTTTCCAAATCCATAAGTATATCGTCATATGCATCAATAACTTGTTTGGATTAAAATTAGGTGAATGCCATGTTTCATAATTAAATAGATTTAGCAAATGGAATAAACCAACCAGCTCAATCAAACTTAAATGTATGCCACTTACACTGTTATTGATTGTCGATTATTGTACCAAAGCTTGGATGTTCGTGAAACATACGTGCACGTCACTCCCTTCGCCACCCCATATTACAGCTCTATAACAAACGTAAACCACATACAATATTTTATAAGTACTTACACATTTAAAAAAAAAAAAAGTTAGTTACAACTCAAGATGGTTACACATCCGTCACTCTCGAAATAGTACACGTCCTCTAGCCGTTTTTGCTTCTCCGGGCTGAGCATTTTCCACACAAGGCGTCGATGGTTCATTCTAAAACTACCCCAAGTCTTTTCTCAGTCTGCACCATCATCAACATAAACCACCTCCCAATTCCCATCCACATTCTCTTTCACCAGATTCTTATGCTGTTTAGTACGACCACCAACATCGGGATACTCGTAATCCGATAACCTCCACTCCCGTCTTCGTTTTTCCTTCACGCGTCTTACCAATGAATTTATGTTAGGGCTCAGAACGTTTACGAAATGCAACTGCAGACATACCTTGGCCACACCATTCGCGTTGCCCGAGGTCCCTGCCATGTTGGACTGTTGGGGGGGTGACATATTTTTTGATGACACTGCACATATTGGACTACCAATACCTATGTTCGAATTTGCTACATTGTGTTCGATCCCATCGAGGACAGACGGTGCTGTATGTCGTAGCGCTAATGGCTCACCAACATTAAGGCAATGCTTTTTCGTCAGCCATTATGCAATGCTGGCAACAGGCGTTGTGAATGTAGTACTTGGTGTTTTGGAAACATCTGAAATACCATTATGTTCCTAACCATTCTGCACACAATCTCTGTCTCTAACCCAGTCAAATGCTATCATCCGGCTACCAGTACCATTTCTTACAGATTGACTGACTTTGTGCGCCTCATGGTCGTCTATTTGATTTTCCAGTCTGATGATTTTTTTTTCAACTCTACCACAACCATGGCTAGACGTTCTATTTCAGCATCTTTCACACATATGACACTGTCAAAACCCATGAACAAGTTGGTGCATTGCACACCAACCATCTATTTCATTGTACTGACTTTTCTTTCTAACTCTTTCACACATTTGACCTTCTTCACTCTCTACTTCTCCAGCTCCTTAATCCTAAGCAATGCATTTTTTAGATCCTTTTCTATAATTCTTTGTTTCTCACAACTAATGTCCTCTACCGGTGTGGTTGATAGAACAAGAAGGTCAGGGAACAGGTTCGGCCAGCCTTCACCTACGACAAGGATATTACCATTATGCTTCGCAAAACCCCGTGCAGAGTCTATATTGATGCTGGTGGTCCCCGACTCTGGTTCAATTTCAATGTCACCACCATTTGGGGAGTCTTCTTTCCAACATTCAAGACTTGGCTCTGCAATTTCCACATCTGCAACACCATCTCCGTTATAGCGACCCCGGTCTTTCCCATTTGATTATTGTATCCAGACTTAGGTTCCGTAGATTCTGTCATTGTATAGTTGTTGTTGTTGTCCCTTTATTTTCTCTTTTGGAATTATAGGATGTGGTTGGGCAAGGTTTGTTTCAGGTTGGTTGGGTTTAGAAACCAAGTGTTTGCTGTCCAGGTTTTTGGTGTTTTCGCTCGAGCCGAGGAGTTGGTCGCTCGAGGCGAGATGTCGTATTGGTTCTTTCGCTCGTAGCCGGGGTTTTTTGGTCGCTCGAGCGAGAAAGTTGGCGTCCTGTATGCGACATGTAGCTTTGCATTCTTGCTCGAGCGAGATTTTCTTTCGCTCGAGCGAGCTGAGTTCGTCCTTTTGGCTCGAGCAATAGTTCCTTCGCTCGAGTCGTGTGGTCTGGGTTACAGACCTGAGGGTTTGAGTTCTTCGTCGATCGAGCTTTCTTTCGCTCGGAGCGAGCCTTTGGGTTGTTTTGGCTGCGAAAGCAGGTTTTCTTGGCTCGGCGGTAGTTTCTTTGTGTCTGGTCGCTCCGAGCGACATGTCTTCGCTCGAGGCGAGCCTGTCAGTTATATGACACAGCAGCGGGTTTTGATCAGTCTTTTGATCTTCTTTTGATTCCAAACCCTAGGTCCGACGTTCTGCTCTTCTACTCACCTTCTTCTTAGATTTGATCCATTAGGGAGTGTTTCTACCCTAGATCCTTCATTTAAAAAGATAGAGTGAGGCAAGGGCTTCCATTTATCTGAGCATTTGGCGATGTTGGAGCACTTTGGTATTTGGGCACTCATCTCTTTCTTCACCATTTGCAGTTGGGTTTTTCTTCGAGGTATGGGGGGGAATTTTCCTACTACCATTTTATAGGTTTTTGTTCTAAGTATTGGTATTTTAACATGTTTGGGGTACTTTGGTAATTTTGCGAAAAACGCTAGTTGTATTATGAATTAATTTGTATAAGTAATTCATCTGGAATTGGGAAAAGAGGGTTAAATTTATGGAATTGGGGAATTCATTGATTTAATGCGTAATTGGGTTAATTGGTATCATTTTGTCTATTGAATTGTTGACATGTTATTTTCAGTTTTTAGAATAACTGTTTTGGGCTATGGTGGAGGATATGGTCGTGATTGTTGTTAGACATTGCATGTGATTAGGAATGAACTGAAACTGAATCACATTGGTTAAGTCATTAATTTTGACTATTGCATTAATACAGAAATACGTGTATTGATTGGCATTGCATTTGCATACATTGTTTTGTGTGTTGGGAGGAGATAGGGGGTATGTACTCACGGTTTAGGGGAAGCTAGGGGAAATGCGACGTCTAAACCGATTTTGTTTTGGGAGGTAGTAGGGATGGACTCCATTTGCATCACTTTTATGTGTGCTTATTCATATGAAGTGTTTTTATTGATACAGCACTAAAATGTGGTATCAATCTGGAAGTATGAAGTGTTTGATTGAGCTTGAAGTCTCAATTTGTTTGTTGATATTTGGAAGGATGTGAATATTATATATGTGAATTCACATGTTGTAAGTTTGGCCAGGTTCTGAGCCATGTTGATAAAATTGGAAGTAAAACGTTATTCTTAGACAATAGTGTCATGAGACTGTAAAATGAAGTAATTGATTATCTTGGTTAAGCCATCTGTTTGAATAACTATTGTTTATTCATTGCTTATTTGTGGTTTAGTAATATTTGCTACTGGGCTTGTGGCTCACCGCTTGTAATGGGAAACTTCATTTTCAGGTTCAGGTGATAAACTACCTCAAAACTTAGGCTTGGGAGGGTTTGGCTCTGATTGGAGAAGACTACCTTGTTAATTGTCGTTTAATTATTGGTTACATGTTTAAACATTCAAGCTAGGGCTTTTCCTGTATGAGTTAGAACTCATATTTCTTGTATCCAAGTGTTGGCTTGGAAGATGTAAGCTGTAGGGCAATTTATTCGATGTTTTTACATGTAATGCTATTATTTAGTAATATCTTGATGAATGAATTAATAATTGTCTTCTTTAAATAATGCATGTCATGGACATATAATCGGGTTATTTTTTGAGGGCGTAAACAACTTGGGGCGTTCACAACTGGGGTTATGCAGAGCGTACCGGGTGAATACTTTTGGGGTACGTGGGAAGTGATCTAGTATCACATTGGGTTTCGTCTCGTTTGATAGAGACTTAGTGTATGTTATATGCTTATGTGATAACATGTTATGTGATTATGTGGGTAATGGAATGTGGTTTCTAGGATGTTGATTGGCACTTGAGTTCTAGTAGTCTTGTTGGAAAGGCCTTGATCACTGCTGCTTCCACCGGACTATAGTAACGCCATTGGGACTAAATAATTATCGGAATGAAATCGTAGGTGCTTATGTGAATTATGTGCTTACGTGGAATGTATTTTGTTGTCCCATTGCTTAGGACGGAGTGTTTAGCTCGCAATTTATTAATGTGCTAATGTCTCTGTTTCCTTTATTAGGATGTCAGGAGAGGACGAGGAGCGTAGGCGTGGTAGGCGCGGGTAGCAGGAGTGGGGCTGTGCGCAGAAGAAATTCCGGCAGTTCAGGAGGAATTGGCCAGGCTAATGTGGCGAGCCAGTAGGCCAGCAGGCTATGGGCGCTTTAGCTCGAGAGATAGCATGGAGCATTCAGGGAGTCAGTAGGCATTTCAGAGTGAGATCAAGCTCAGGTTTGTTGCTTGCTGATGCATGGACTTCTTTCTGAAGAGGGAGTTCTTCCGGCTCTAATCCGGATGATTTGTGGTGATCCCTAAAGAGCCGCTAAGGCAGATGAATGGCTTCGAACAGACAACGAAGACGTTTGAGATGCTTGGCATTGGAAGACGAGGGGTGAGGAGTGGACTTGGCATCTTTCCAGTTGAAGGGGGATGCAGGTCAGTGGTGGGAAGTTTACTAAGGGGCGATATAGGAGGTACGTGGGAGGCTTTTGTGATGCTTTCAGGAGAAGGTTTCTTTATCTCCGCGTTCAGGGAGAAGCTGCGAGGACCAGTTTTGTCAGGCCTTAAGCAGGCGAGTTTCCCTTCAGTGGCCCGATTTGAGGGCTGGGCATTCACTAGTTTGTCCAGGTTTGCACTTGAGTTGGTGGCGTCTGAGGCAACGCCGTTGTATTGAGTTTGAGAGAAGTTGAGGCGTGGCTCAAGCTGAAGTTGGGGGAACTATGATTCGGGATTATGGCGTATGGTTTGATGCTCAGCCCACATGGAAATCATGATGCAGGAGGAGGAGGAAGGGCAGAAGGCTCCAAGAGGAGGTCAGAGATGGTCAGAAATGATGGTAGGGACAGAAGGGTTTTAATCCCAGCAGTCTCAGGGTAGCTTTCTAGATCGACTTTTTCCTGTACCCGAGCTGTTAGTTCGGGAAAGGCAGTCAGGGAGACATTACCTGTTTCAAGTGTTGGCCCAGCTGGGCGCACAAGTCTTCCAGTTTGTCCTTAGAGGGGAGGAGTTCAGAGAAGCAGCATCTTCGTCGGCTTCGATCTCAGAGCCCAGAGTCAAGGGTAAGGGTCAGCACTCTCGTGTTTTCACCAGTGTGGTCAGGCCAGGGGTATATGAAGAGGTTATTGCCCGCAGTTGGGTGGGCACAATCTGGTGCATACTGGATTGAGGCCGATTCAGGTCAGCCAGCCAGCTCAGAAGCTCAGTCGGGTCAGGCCTCGAGGGGCCAATCAGGGGGGGGCTTTCTCGTCTCAGTCGGGTGCAGCAATCTTATGCTCTAGGGTTGAGCAAGTTGATCAGAGGTCGTCTGGGCGTGTGTAATGCTGTTACCTGGCGCAGGAATCTTGTGCCAGCACCATCAGTTGTGAGAGGTACTTCTTTGTTTTTTGCAACTCCGTTGCTAATGTTTTGATTGATACGCGATGCATCTCATTCCTTTGTGTTGCTGCATTTGCATTGTTTTGGAGTTGGAAGTTAGCACAATTCAGCATCTCTATTGTGTAGTGTCACCTCTTGGGGGGTGAATTGGATTTTGAAACAAGGGCGTTAGGGGTTGTGATATAGGAGGTTGATTATCATAAGAATCCCATTTTTCCTTTGTCGTTATGCTATGAGGGGTCTTCGATGTTATTTTGGGTAATGGACTGGTTATCGTCAATACGGGCAGTTATTGGATTGCTATGCAGCGGTCACTTGTTGTACCGGTGACGGAGAGTATTTTCATTTTCTGGGGGACCGGTTTGGTGATGTGTTGCCACGGGGTATGTTCCGCGAGGAAGGAGTGAGCTAGTGGGCTACTTGCTAGACCTTTTTTGATTAGTTGAGGCATAATGAGACTCAGTTGGTTGCAAGGGTTTGGTTTGGTGAGTACTCGGATGTCTTTCCGCGAGATCTTGTAGGTTTGCGGCATCGTTGGAGATTGAGTTTTCTATTGACTACGTTGCCGGCTACAGCGCCGATTTCCATGGCACCTTATCGTTTTGGCCCAGCCGAGTTAGGTCGAGTTGAAGATCCAACTCAGGAGTTACTAGAGCAAGGGTTTTTATACGCCCTAGTGTTTTCGCCGTGGGGAGCACCGGCGCCTCTTGTTAAAAGAAGGGGATGGCGCTTTGAGACTTTGTTAGATTACCGGAAATTGGAATCGGGCTACGGTTAAGAATAGTACCCTATGCTCGTATAGATGATCTTGTTTGGCGTTGAAGGGTTCCGCGTTGGTTTTCTCTAAGAAAGACTTGAGATCAGGTTCACAGTTGAGGGTCAGAGAGGAGGATTTCCGAAGACGGCATTCCGTACGCGGTAAATAGGCCACTATGAGTTTTCTGTGATGCATTTTGGGGCTCAACCATGCTACCGGAGTTTTTATGGATTTGATGAACGGATCTTGCCGGAAATTTCTTGGATCGGTTTGTTAGTTGTTTTTGTGATGATATCCTTATCTATTCGCCTTCTGAGGAGGAACACGAGAAACACTTGAGAGTGGTGCTTGAGTTTTACTTAGAGCCCAC